TGGACTCTAGTCTTTTCCTTTGCCTAGCATGATGTTCTTGGGGAAATTTCACTTTCATTATAGTCTGGGAGCCAAAGGGGTACACTAATGTCTCTTGAGAATATCTCCACTCCTGTGATGATGGTTAAAATGAGATGCAGAGATATCAGAGATCTGCTGTAGTTAATGAGATACTAGGTCACCAAGGCTTGCTGTGTAATGTGAAGGTACACACCTGCTACACATATCTGTTATATGTATATGCACAACTGTAATCTTTAGGTTTCTACATAGACATCCAAAACATGTGTTCCCTAGCAGCCAACACTGGAGTTCTGACTTTTCTTTTCACTTCCCTTGATGAACTTTCTTCACTGGTGAAAATGGGAATTCTTTCTTCCTGATTATGCTTACAAAGGACCTGGACATGTTCTTCTTTCTCGAATACTCTACATGTACTCCATCACATGTATTCCATCACAAACTCTTCTGACTCTACCTGGTAGTATATTCAGAAATGAGAACACCTCGCTCTGCCTTGCGCCAGGCATCAGTATTTTGAAAATGGTCTGCCAATCGGGCTCCTACCACCCACATTTTCTCCTCTCATTGCCAAATTTATCTTATCGTACAAATTAGTGTCTCATTGTTTGATTCAGCACCCTGCAATGGCTCCTTAACTCCTCAGGATAGAAAAGAAATCTTTACAATAAATCATTATCCTCCAGGAATTGGGTTTTAAATATTTATTTCCTTGGACTGGGTCTTGCTCTATAGCCACAGCTGGACTGGAATTCAGGCTTCTCCTTCCATATTTCCCGAGATCTGGGTTTACCGGCAAGCAGGACCACCCTGAAAGGGGGCAGTTTCTAGGAATGCTCTGGTCTTTTTTCTTGCCAACTTTCCCACCCTTCCAAACTTGTCACCCTGGCTTATCCCAACAGGTATCCTCCTTGACCTAGCTCTCATCTGCATCAGATGCTCTTTCCTCAAAATAGTAAACTACTAACTTTTTCAGGTCTTGAAATAATTGTTTCATTTTTTTTCAAAAAAATGATCTTAGCTTTTGGAATTATAATTACAAATTTTAATCCCTCTTTCATTTCCTCTTTCTAAGCCCTCCTGTGCACTGCTGTGGCTGCTTACTTTACATTTCATGGCCACCTTTACTTACTCTTTGTGTGTGTGTGTGTGTGTGTATTCCTAAATATATAAACACAACCTTCTCAGTCTGTATAATGTTACTTTATGTAACTGTTTTTAGGGATGATCATTTGGTATTGGATAAGCAATGACGTGCTCTTGATGCTTTCCTTTCTATGAGGTTCACTTTGAGCAGTGTTTGGGAACACCCAAATACCTGGATCTAACACACCCATGTTCCTAGCTTTGTTTTATTCTCTTCTTTTCCCTCAATACAGAATATTCTAACTGTAGTATTTACTTTTAGCTTACACTTGTAGCTTGCTGTCTTCCATTGTTCTTGTCCCCTAGAATGTGAGTTTCAAATATTATGGATTTTCATCTTCTTCATTGATTTATTCTAGTACAGAGAACAGGACTGGACATTCCATATGGTCAGAAAATATGCATTAAGTGTCTGGGCCTATATTCTGGCCAAATTGATCTTCCCATGATTCAATGCTCCATTTAGAAAACATAGACCAAGCCACATGCAAATTTACACATGTAGAGAGAAACTTCAGTAGAAATTTCCAGAGCATTCAATCATCTTCCCCATCTCCTTCCTTGACTTCCCATCACATCACTGTAGCTGCTAATACACTCAGAGTTTATAAATCCATCAAGAATATGCAGCTCTTCTACTTCTTTACTCTGTGTTCTCATTTTTAACTCCACCCCTTAAAAAAGCTCTGTTAAGTCTGATTGGAATTTGGAATGAGAAGCATGAGTCAGGATGTACTTCCTTTGGGAGAATTTGGGCAAATGGAAGATAAATTGTGGGGCTTCTGTCAGCAAGCAAATGTTACAGAGATACATTTGCCCATTGCCGCTGCAGAAATAGAGGCTAAGCCTCTCCGTGCTCTCATCTAGAAAGTCACAGGTCCTGGGTCACTTTGTCAGCATCTCTTCAATGAATGAAATGAACATGGCCTATATAACACATAAAATACATATGGGGCATTATAGCTTAGGATATTTAACTGGGGACACTTTAAGTCAATAAAGGAGTTGACCTCACCAATTGGCATTGGATGTGCACATGTTTTTGCCCTTAAAAAAATGCTAGGGGACATGAAATGGTTTTCATGCTGTGAAATGGATTAGGTTGACTGAGGTATAAGACCCACTATAAATGTGAGCAGTGCTGTTCCATGGCCTGGGCTCCCAGACTAAATCCAGCAGAGGAAGGAAGCTGAGCACCAGCATCCTCCTCTCTATTTCCAGACTGCAAATGCAACATGACCACAACCCTTCTGCTGTCAGATTGCCCCTTTACAGTGGACTGTACTCCCTAAAATGTAAACTAAAACAAATACAAATCCTTTCTTACATTGATTTCAACAGGGATTTTATTATAGCAACAAGCCCAGTAATACAGTTGTCACTCCAAATGCTAATTTTGACAGTTGCGGAGAACATTCAGCATGGACAGTGAGACTAGCTCATTCTAGCACAAAGCTACCGACTGTGGAGATGGATGTTCCTGCTCCAAACCTTCCCCACACTCTCTCCTCACCATGATCATGACCATGTGTTCTCTTCATTTACTCAAATCTCATTCATTCTTTGGGCGACAACCCCACCCTTCCACCTCCAAACTTGCATAAAAAGCTCAACACCATCTATCCTTCCTCTGGAAGAAACACTTTAAATAGGACAGCTTGGAATATGATGTTTGAAAGGAAGGAGCAATACCACCCATGTACAAAGCTGAGTGAGGTCAGTGGAAAATTCCACAAAAGTTACAATCTCATAAAAGCTACTGATACAGAAAGACCACCAGGTACTAACACTTTAATATTCATGTAATTAGAAGAAATGAAATGTGACTTTGTAGAAAACATATAGATACCATCTAATGCCAGAAAAAGTCTCTGAATTATTCATCTTTGAGTTTCTCTGATTATCATTACAATGCACTTCTGGCAGAAATAGTGGATAATATATTATAAATGTCTTTAAAATTAGGGGTATATTCTGCCAAAATTGTTTGCTGTTCTATTTATATATAAACTGTATAGGCTGCTTGCAGCAACATTTTTACAGATGTGATATAAATGAAAGAATGTTCCTCTTTCTTCTGTTGTAAACATATTCAGACTTTAAAAAGTTATATTCTAGCCAGGCAGTGGTGGCATACACCTCTAATCCTAGCACTCTGGGGGCAGAGGCAGGCATATCTCTGAGTTCAAGGCCAGCCTAACAGTAGAGCAAGTTCTAGTACAGCACGGGGGCTACACAGAGAAACCCTCTGTCAAAAAACAATCAAAATGTTATATTCTATAGACACATGAACCATAGCCACTATGAACTGTAAGGTACCATTTGCATGAGTGCCAACTTTTTAAGGTGATCTAGAAATGAATTTCCTTCATAATAGAACTTTTTTTTTTTGTAAGATACCTTAGCTGCCTGAAAATCTCCATGAAACAACTTAGAGACTTAGAAGTCTGCATGTGGGGATGTCAAACTGAGGCACAAGCACATTTTTTTTGTTAATTTATTTGTAAGTTTTTGTGGCTGCATACATATGCATGTATGTCAGAAGAGGGCATCAGACTCCCTGGAGCTGGAGTTACAGGCATTGTGAGTCGCCTGACATGGGTACTGGGAACTGAACTCAGGTCCTCTGTGAGAGCAGCAAGAACTCCTAACTGCTGAGCCATCTCTCCTAGCCTGTCTTATTTCAAATTCTAAAAGCGATTTTCATGAACTTTCATCTTACAAAATATAAAGTGAATGGAATTAATGTTCATAGCAAGATAGCTCCATCTCACAAAATCAGAAACTGACTGAGAAAGCTAACTCTATACACTAAGTGAGTATCAACTTTTAGTTACACATAGTTTTCAAAGACAAAATATCTCAAAATGAAATGTCTTAAGCTCTAATGAAAAGCAAACTTTAGAATTAGAGTATTTAGGACTTAGGAAATTGTATGCAATATTATATTTCACAGAAGCATTTTGCCTTTCCAGTCTGTGTGAATTCACACTCAAAAGGAAGACGTGAGAGTAGGAGGGGGATTTGCTGGGAAGAGCTTCAGTGGACAGGAAGTGGGAAAAGAGAGGGGTGGGGGAGAAAAGAACTAAAAGATATGCCAATGTACGAAACTGTCAAACATAGAAAGAGGTTAAGTGTCTTCCCAGATTTGCAATACCCAATAAACATTAATTTCTAGTATTTCTGTCTTTGGATTTGGAAAGCAGAATTATTCCAAGTAGCCCATGTCAGTTAACCCTCATTTGCCATTCGTCTTGTGTGATTACAGCTAGCACAAAATGGTCTTCAGCAGGGACAGCATCCTGGGGCTGAGAAGGGATGCAACTCTTCTGCTTGAGAGCATAGAAGGAAAGGTCACATGGCAACCTGAGGGTTTCCGCCATTGTTCAGCTGTTGCTTGCAGTCCTAGCAGCACAGTGCTCACGTTGTCTGAACAAAGTTAGACAAATGGGATGCTACAGACTGTTCCACCTCTGCCTCATATGTGTATATGTACATGCCCTATTCATACTATATATACACAGACATACACACATATATAGTCCATACATATGCACATGTATACAGATCTATACACATATGTACATACGCAGTACCTATATGCACATACAAACATACTCCGTACACACACATATAAGTATACATATATAAATGTTGTCTTTGTTGGCATCACAAATACACTAGATAAAGTAGGCATCCCAAACAGCAACTTTTTATAAGCCCAGTTTTCGCATTTGTGTTTATCTTTTCCTTTTGTGTCTTTCCTTGCCAAGCAACAGAAATACGAACCATGATGTCTGGAGCACATAAAGTAGGATGGACAGATGGCTTACCTGTCTATGATGGCACACATGTCAATGGTGACATTCGCAAAGCTTCCGGGCTTCCTCTGTGCCACTTCGTACAAATTGACAAGCTGATCATCTACCTGAATGAGCTGCATGCATCCTTGGAATGATGGCTGCAGGACGGAGTAGCTGGCATTGTTCACATGGTTCAAAAATCCTGTGAAACAGAAGGAACAAGAAGATCACCACAGGCATCCTGCATGGTTTATTAATGGCCTCCCAAGCATTCGACTGGACACTGCCACCTGATTAATTACAGCGTTTCTTTGATTCTTGCTGACATAGTACAGGGGTGACACCTCTTGAGAATATGAGATTTCCTTAGGCGGGAGTCAGGCTTGGCGGTGGCTTGAATGAAAATCGCCCCCACGGGCATTTTGAATGCTCATTTTCACAGTTGGTGGAACTATTTGTGAAGGATTAGGAGAGTGGCCTTGTTGGAGTAGGTATGACTCTGGGAGTTCTCCAGTTCAAATTTGCCTACTCAGCCAAATTAAACTGTACTCATTAGTCTTCAATTATTTACCAATTCATTCTTTCCAATACTGTGTGGTTGGCAATAGACCACCAATACATTAAAAAAAAATAGTGAGAATCAACATATGCCATTAAATGAATAAAAGTGAATATTTAGAACAAACAGAATTTGGTCATTTAAAGCGATTCTTTAAAATGCTCTATTTTGGTTGATTTTAGTAATAGTTGACTACAATAAAAACCACTTTTCTCATTTCCTTACCAGGTGTCAATATATAAATTCTGAAAACTGTCATTTGAATTTCCTTTAAGGTTTCATCTCAGAGGTGTACATTACTTCTCACCAATATAGCACTAGAAAAATGATTATGCTTAACTCTTAACTTAAAACAATGTGCTCTGTGCCAATACTGTTATATGTGTGTGTGTGTGTGTGTGTGTGTGTGTGTGTGTGTGTGTGTGTGTATGCCTGTGTATGTATGCATGCATGTGTTTATAAGCTATGTATTTTCATTGGCATTGACTTAGTTCCTTTACAAAAATGCTGACTTTTGGATAAGTTGGCTACTTAGAATAGTTGTATGCATACAATGTGATTTCTACTTGTCTAATCATGGTAAAATTGAGTAGGTTTTAATGGCTAAACTTAGCAGACAGAAAACACACAGCTGTAACTTTTGTGGCTGCTCTTAGCAAGGCTATCATTGGGTTCAGCTTTTGTGAATACTTAGGAGTCTAAACATTCACATTAACTTGGAAAAATTTGGAAATGAGTAACTCTCTTTATGAGAGGGAGAACGTCTGTGAAGCAGAGCAGCTGCATAAATGCTTATCGCTTCCAACTGGGTGTGATTACATTCCCCCAAACAAGACTTCAGCATCCACTCACAACAATGTTCTGTTTGGTCTTGATACTTTCGGAGTCTAAAATTGTCAAGTCTTTTCATGCTCTTACATGAGATGTATTCTAGGAGAAGATAATTATAGGAATAATTACTATATAGCCATTGAAAACAGTTCTTTTTCTTGTATTATCCTTAAAGCTTTTAAGAGGGATCCTATTTGCTCTTGTGTACAAGCATCCACACCCTTCTGTATCATCTTTGGCCCCTGAGCTTGGCTTATTTCTGTAGACAACAGAAAACTGTGAAGGTGGTAAAAGTGACTCCCAAGGCCCATTTCTAACCTGATATGCACAATTGATCATATTGGTAAGCAGGCAGTGATGTGGAGAGGCCTAGGAGAGATAATAATAGACTTCCATGACTGCAATTGTGTTGTGTGGCTTGGGTAGGGTGGGATGAAAATTAGATTATTGTTACCCAACAATAGCAATGAATAAATAACCTCTTGCTGGAAACTAATTACAATAATGCCCCCAAAGGAAAGGGCAAGTTAGCTTAATGAGTCTTCATGGAATTATTGGTTAGAAACCTAATGTCTCTTGGGGAGGCAGTCAGTAACAACATAAAGGAAAGGAATAGAAATGGTCCTCTCATGAAAGCACATGGGATATTTGCTGGGTTGTAGGGTAAAGTTTATCAACATTGTGTTTGTCTTAGTTAGGGTTACCATTGCTGTGATAAAACATCATGACCAATGCAACTTGGGGAGGAAAGGGTTATTTGTCTTACACTTCCAAATCAGTTCATCAGTGAAGGAAATCAGGACAAGAAATCAAACAGGGCAAGATCCTGGAGACAGGACCTGTTGCAGATGCCATGGAGGAATGCTGCTTACTTGCTTGCTCAGCTTGCTTTTTTATAGAACCTAGGACCACCAGCCCAGGAATGGCACTGCCCATGATGGGCTGGGCCCTCCCCCATCAACCATTAAATAAAAAAAATGCCCTACAGGCTTGCATACAGCACCATCTAATGGAAGCAATTTTCTTAATTGAGGTTCTCGCCTGAAAATAAATGCTGGGGTCCTTCCCTACAACTGGACTACACTTTCACCAATAGCTTCTCCTGGGCTCTCTTCAAGGATGACAGTCCTGCCAAGCCCTAGCTGCTCTTCATGATCCCTTAATGCTTTCAAAACTAGCACCACCTGGGTGACCCTTAAGCTATCATACTTGGCTGCCAGTGTGAGGTATAAACTTGGCTGCCTCTGGAACACAGCTTCTATATGCTGACTCTAAGGAACCACTGCATAGAAGGCTTCAGCTCATTGATGCGGGTCTCTTCTCAATCCATAATTAATTTCTCAGCTCCATCTAACCAGCATCAACTGTCCCAATAAAGCAAAGGTTTTACTTTAGTGGTTCTGGTCTCTTGTTAATCACAGCTGCTTTCTTCAGGCCCAGCTGATCAACCACAGATTCTTTCCACAAAAGGCCTGGTAGAGTCTTTGCTTCCCTCTGAAACTTCATAAGCCAGGCCTCCATTGTCTGCACTGCTCTCAAAATTCTTATCTTTTAAGCTCTTACAGAAGAGCTCAATGAGTTCTCAACACTTAATGACTTTTCTGGGCTCAAATTCCAAAGTCTTTCAACAGTCCTCCATGAAATAACATGATCAGGTCTGTCACAGCAATACCCCATTATCCTGGTACTGAGTTGTCTTAGTTAGGGTTAGTAATGCTTGATGAAACACCACAACCGAAGCGACTTGGGGAGGAAAGGGTTTATTTGACTTACACTTCCAAATTACTGTTCATCAGTGAAGGGAGTCAGGACAGGAACTCAAATGGAGAAGGAATATGGAAGCAGGAGCTAACACAGAGGCTATGAAGGAGTGCTGCTTGCTCAACTGGCTTTCTTGTAGAATCCAGGACTTTCAACCCATGATGGCACTGCCCACAATGGTCTGAGCCTTCCCGCATCTATCATTAATTAAGAAAATGCCCTACAGCCCTGTCTAATGGAGACATTTTCTTAATTGAGGTTCTCTCATTTCAGGTGACTTTAGCTTGTATCAAGTTGACATAAAACTATCCAACACACTATATATGATAAAAAAAAAATAAGAAGATATACTTAGTCCATTGTAAAATCTGGTCAAGGGTGTTTCCAGCACAGTACCAAAAGTGTTATCAGCTAATCCAATTCATTTTACCTGTCAAATTGATTGGCTTGAGAAAAACATTGCGGTTTCTAGGAAGCCTTTTCCTGAGAGGGGAAGACCTATTCTGATTATGGACAGCACCCTCCCACAGGCTGTGGAGGAAGCAGATAAAAGGGGAAACCCAGTGGGCTTTAGCAGGATTCTAAGTGAGCTGGTAGGTTACCATGGACAGACACCTGTGGAATTAAATGTGACTCTCTTTCTTCAAGTTGTTTGGCTCAGATATCTTATCCTGGGGATGAAGAACAAACAAAAGCTAAAACAAACTCTTAGCTGTAAAGAAGCCAGGAAGTGATGGACTCAAATCGAAATCTGTCTTAATTCCACTTTACTCAGACAGTGAACAATACAAGAAGAAATTACTTCCAATGACCAAATACCAGGATATGTCATCTAGTGATGACAAGGAAGTCTTTGCCAACACCTCAGACAGATGTGCCAAGAAAAAGATACATGAGGGAAAAGACCCATTCAGCAGCTTATTCATGCACTCAGACAAGCTCCCAAACAAGAGTACTTCTAGGATCTTAAGGGTATTTTGCTCAGCAGGTCAGGAGCTCAGAAGTGGTTATCTTCATGAGACTACATCCGTGCTTTCCATTAAATGACTGTTTTTAAACACTTCTTCATTTCTATGTCTTTGCCTTCGAAAAATATATTCTCAGTGTGTGTGTGTGTGTGTGTGTGTGTGTGTGTGTGTGTGTGTGTGTGTGTTATAACTACACTATGTTGTGTATATTGAGGCCAGAACAATAATGTGAAGTCACTTCTTTCTTACTACTATGTGGTCCTGGGGATCAAACTCAGACTGTCAAGCTTAGTAGGTTCATTTACCCACTGAACCATCTTGTTGGCCATTTGAATTTAGAAACAGGGCCTTGAACTCATATTCCTACCTCCACCTCTGAATGTTGTGGTATAGTATTCTACTTCAGTGGACAAACATGAATAGCATTGCCAGGAATCACATTGTTGTTTGTTTGTTTTTTAAGAACATTGCTATTAGCAGTAATGCCATCAGCTTTGACCAGCCTGTACTAAAATAGACAGAAAGCACAAATGTAAAGAAACTTTTAGACCTTGGTCAATGTGCAGAAAAATTGAAACTGGAAACATGGGCTACCTGTTGAGAATAAGAGAAGTGGGGAGAGGAAAAGGAGGAAGAGGAGATGGAAATGACTCAGGGAGGATAGGCAGAACAAAGAAACAGATCACAGAGTTGCAAAAAAAAAAAAAAAAAGTCAGTGAGTCTGAATCCTAAGATGGAATTCTCATCAAGTGCCTCACGGGCATCTTGAAACAATGTAGACTAGTGATATGGGTCTGACTTGACATTGCCAAGGCTCTGAAGCTTACACAAAAATAGTCTAACATAATACAACTTCAGAAACAATTTTCAGAAGAGATGTGGACTTAGTACATGAATATTCATAAAGTGAGGTTAAACCCTTAACTCTATCTTCAAGATAGCTATCAATCATCACATTATAATTATATTAACTCTAGAATACTCTTCTCCCACATTGAACTAGTGCCTACCTTTGTGCGACCAATAGAACACTGCCAAATATTGGGTTATGGTTATTGAACTGTATGTGAATATTCTTAAGCT